ATGAGATATGGAAAGCCGAGGCAGGCATGGAGATCAAGCTGGCATCCAATATAAAGGACAACAAAAAGTCCTTCTACAGGTACATGGGGAGCAAGAAGGAAAAAAAAACCAAGCTCCACGATGGGACCCCTACTGAATATGAAGGGAGAGCCCACAGTTGACCCCCATGAAAAGGCTGAGCTCCTAAATGAATACTTCACATCTGTATTCCAGAAGGCTAATAGGAGCTAAGTACCCATCTAGAGGCCCAGAGAACATGGGGAAGTCTATAGACAACATGAAATCAGTCCTGAACAGGTAAGGGTCCTCTTAGAACAATTGGATGTCTTCAAGTCCTCTGGGCTAGATGACCTACATCCAAGAGTCCTGAAAGAACTGGCCCTTGGCAAAAATATTTGAAAAAGTTGTGGAACTCAGGAGTGGTCCCAGACAACTGGAAGAGGGCCAACATGGTGCCCATCTTTAAGAAAGGGAGGAGGGATGACCCTGCAAACTATAGACGGGTCAGTTTGACTTCGGTCCTTGGAAAAACTTTTGAAAAAATTGTTAAAGAGGCCATCAACCACATGCTTGCAACTGACAGGGTATTAAGAAAAAACCAGCACGGCTTTGTAGATCATACCTGACAAACCTGGTGTCCTTTTACGACCAGGTAATTAACCAGCTGGACAAGGTAGACAGCTTTTACTTAGATTTCAGTAAGGCCTTTGATTCTGTCTCCCATGAAATTTTCTCAATCAAACTGGAGGGTGCTGACCTGGACCAGCCTACAGTGAGGTTTGTGGATAACCAGCTTAGAGGCTGGCCCTGGACAGTTTTAATCAATGGGATGGCCTCATCCTGGAGGACTGTCTCCAGTGGTGTCCCACACGGTTCAGTTCTTTGACCCATGCCTTTTAACATATTTATTAACAACTTGGATAAGGGGATGGAATGATCTATGATTAAGTTTTCAGATGATACCAAGCAGTGGGGAAATGTGGTCATACCAAAAGACAGGGTAAAAAGCCAGGATGACCTTGACAGACTGGTTCTATGGACTGATCGGAATCAGATGAGGCTCAACAGAGAAACGTGTCGGGTACTTCACTTGGGCAGGAAGAACCTTCACCACAACTATAGGACAGGTGGTAGCCCACAGGCTGGCACAGGATCTGCCCGGGACCTGGGGGTCACAATCGACCAGAAGATGAATATGAGCCAACAGTGTGAGGAAGTCACCAGCAGGGCAAATAGAACGCTGATGTGCATCAGCCGATGCGTTGCCAACAGATCCAAGGAGGTGCTTCTCCCTCCCTACTCAGCATTGGTGAGGCCTCAACTGGAGTACTGTGCCCAGTTTTGGGAGCTGCACTTTAAGAAGGATGTGGCTAAACTCAAGAGGGTGCAGAGAAGGGCCACCTGCATGATTAGGGGCCTAGAGGATAGACCCTATGGGGAGAGACTCCAGGAGCTGGGCTTGTTCAGTCTGGGTAAGAGGAGGCTGTGAGTTGACTTGATAGCCGCTTACAAATGTTAGGGGGGAACACCAGGATCTGGGGGAGCAACTTCAGGAAGGCACCCCTTGGGAGGACAAGGACCAATGGTCACAAACTAATAGAGGGAAGATTTAAGCTGGACATAAGGAAGAATTTCTCCATAAGGGTAACTAGAACTTGGAACACACTCCCAGCAGAGGTGGTCCGGTTGCCATCCTTGGAGGTGGTCAAGAGGAGGCTGGAATAGCACCTTGTTGAGCTAGTCTGAGCTCTTTAACTGCTGGACTATGACAGGGGACTGGACCCGATGATCTTATGGGTCCCTTCTGGTCCATTGACTCTAAAAGTAGGGTTGGAAGAGACTGCAAGAGGTCATCTAGTCCACCCCCATGCTGAAGGCAGGATCATCCCTATCCAAACTAGCCTATACAAATCCTTGTGTAACATATTGTGAAGGATTGAGAGAGAGCAAACAAAAGCCCCGAGGTACCTTACATGCTGGGCAGGGGAGGTCAGGAGAAGAAAAGCAGCCAGCAGCAACAGACAGGGAAAGTGAAAACAAGCAACACTCAAAGCATGGAGGGTTGGCAGGATTAAAGCTGGAGACCGGAAGGGAAGAGAAACATTCACCACACTTCTGGAGCAGCATCTCATTCAGGATTGGAGGGAGGCTGCTCAGAGGTATTTCTGGCCTCAAAGAAGGGATAGAGGGGCGTAAGTTCCCTGCAAGATGCAGAGACAGGAGAGGCTGAGCGTCCCTGCAGGCATGGGTTGCAAAACTTGCCAGAGGAACACTGTGGGTATGTCCCTGAGAAGGAGGCAGACGGAGGCCTGCACACACATGGCTTTTGATAATCGCTGGAGCAGTGTCAGCTGAGGATCCAGAGAAGAAGACAGAGGAAATGCTGTTCAAGGTTAGAGTCTTGCTGCTTATGGTACGGATCCTATTGGGACTGTGAATATTCACGAATAAGCTGGGCAGGCCTATGCAGAACAGCGACTGGACTAATTGATTTGTTTTCTGTTGTGATTGGGATATGAGAGCCTGACCCCAGGTGAAGGGGACATGGACTGAGCCTGGCAAGGAGACTGAGAGCAGTTGGGGGTGTTTGGGGGGGGGGGTGTCCTTTTTTTGGATATCTGAGCACAGGCCAAGGCCAGCCCATAATAGACTAACAGGGAGCACTACGACCTGGCTGCAGAGAATTTTGAGTACCATCTGGAGAGGCCAGGTTGGGCTAAGCAGAGGTTTGGAGCCCCACAGAAGAAAGCAGGGATTGAGACCGGGTAGAATCACCTTGGCCAGTGCCTCCTAGGAATATAATTTCATGAAAGTCGTGGCAGGAGAGAAACACAAGATCAATTTACTGGCAGACCAGGTGATCTGAAGCAGAGATCCCCCCTGTCACCGCCTGTAGGAAAATGAACTCAGGGCAGTGGTAACAAGCCCTACAACACCTACAGCTGTCACAATATTCTTAAAATTTCACAAACAACCCCACTACACAAGTGCCAGGCATATTGCTCCAAAACAGCAAGAATGCCTTAACCTACTGTAGGCAAAGCAAGAGGACAAGGGCACTGTTAATGTCCTGCCACTGCAAGGACAGGAAGTGGTTGTTGAAAGCTTGTATTAGTTTCCTATTTGTAGCAAATGAAGGACAACAGCTTAAGGCACTCCTGTTGAAAATGATAGGTTAGGTTACTACTTGCTATTGTGATGAGACTGGTCTCTAGCAGCCTGAACAACATTGTCTCCTCCTTTCTCCTTGTCCCTCACCTATCTGTGTCCATCTGTCGGCCCTTTATCTTATAGATAAAATGGCAGTGAGGGTGCTAAGTTCATGCTCCTGTGAGCCTGTGTAATTAAAATATCCCCCCTGGCCCCACCTTGGAGCACATATATAGGCACTAGGGCTGTGCGAAGCTTCGGTCCCTGATTCAATTCAGCAGAGATTTTGCCTGATTCAGTGGCCGAATCTCTCAATCCAAATTGAATCAGAGGATCCTTTAATCTCTCTGAATCAAATAGGAACTCTCTGAATCAATTCGGAGACATTCAGAAAGATTCAGAGATTCAGATGTAGAGACAGATTTAAATGTTTTTTCTACATACCTCTAGGTAGCAGGGGCTTATGAGTGCTGTGATGCTGGGGCGCATAGAGTGTCCCACAGAAGTGCGGGGGCTCCCAGCATGCTCGGCAGCAGACCTGGAAGTGTACCAGAATCTCTTCCAGTCCACTTCTGGGTCAACTGGGGAGTGCGCAGGGGGGCGCCCCCCCAGCTCGGCGACTCGTGCCTCCTGGGTCTGGGGGGGAGCCTATGCACTCCCTGGCAGACCCAGAAGTGGACCAGAAGTACTTCCAGTCCACTTCCGGGTTCGCCGCCGAGCACATGGAGGGCACCCCCACACGTGTGTGGAATGCTCCATCTGCCCCAGCATTGCAGTGATCACAAGCTGCACTGGTACGTCAACATACGTAGCAAAAACTTTTAAAGCTGTGTCTATGTCCGAATAGCTGATTCTCCAAATCAGAATCAAATCTTCAGATTCGGATTCAGCCGAATCGAATCAGGGACAGTGATCCAAATCAACGAATTGAATAACTATCCCTGATTCAGGCCGAATCCAAATCCAAATTGAATAGGGCCCACTTTGCACACCCCTAATAGGCACTCAAAATTTTCAGGAGCAATTAATTAAATATATTCCATCCCATTAATCAGCCCTCTTGTGTCTGTTTGCTTTTATTAAAAGGAAGTTAAAGACAAAAGGAGAGACAATGAGTCAGTCATTCAATAACCAGAGGGAACCACAGAATAACAACTCTTCATCCAGCACAGAGTGCCCTTCTCTCATCTTTTCAAGCTATCATAAATTGTTTTACATATATCTAAATAAATTTCAGGATAATCTAATGCCTTTATGTAATGACCTAAAGCAACAGGTCCATCATCAAGGCAACCAGTCATCTGTAATGCCCATGACCACACAACACCACTTTCTGTGGAAATAATTACTTAGAACTATTTGCAATTCATGCAAAACTAAATACATAGGAACTTTGCCTCAGTGACCAAAATTAATGCAGATTAGCACAGTATATTCTTACCACAGGTGCTTTTGCTTGCAATCTAGCTATAATAATAATAGGTAGGCAGAGAAATATCTGTACTTTCGCAGGAGGACAAAAGAATAGAAACATTATCTGTAATTGTCTGCAATCTCTGAACTAGAGCAGTAAGCATTTTCCTCATTGTGGCTAAAACAGAGGTGACTGGAAGAGAGTTTTGTAATAGTGTTTTTAGTGGAACATTTCTAGGATTCACTTGCTGAAAAACGTTTCCTGGTAAGTGCTTTCTTCCTTACTAAGAATACAGCCTCACTGTTCAGCAAAATCCATTCTGTTAGCCATTTATTGATTTCTATTCTTTTTTCCCCAGCAAAATAACTGTGAGCTACAAGTTTCTTTCTTCCAAACTATGCACTAAATTGCAATGAAGCCATCAGAGGGTGCTTACCTGCACAGTTCTGCTCAGGTTTCCATTGGACTTTGATACCTTCCCTCTGACAGGTCCGGGCATAGGCAAGGAAAGACTCGCAGTAGCAGTTTTTGTGAACTGGACACTCACACATGTCTGTCACACAGGACCTGCAAAATACAGCCGACAAATTAACAATAAACGGTTTAACAAGTAGTTATCATTTTTTGAAACCATCTCTTTTTACGATCACATAATAAAGTTTAAAGATGCAAAAACCTAGGCTTACACTAAAACAGCAAACAAGTTAAAAACTTTTCAGCTCCCAAATCCATATGGTTGATCTCATCTCTGGTGTTCTACTAAATTCTAAATTCTATATGCTGAAAACTCCTGACTATACCAATGGGAGATTTGGGAAAAAGTAGAGAGCACAAAATGAGAGTCAAGACTTGTTATGTCATGGGGATCAAGGGCTGCAAGCAGCAATTATGGGGCAAGGCAAAAACAATTTGTATCAAATACAATTTTTTTTTGTCTCAGTAAAGGATACAGGCTCCATTTTCATTCCACAGAAGAATATTTATTGCAACAATGTCTGGAGGAATTCTGAACTTTAAGAGAATTATAAAAGAGCAATCGTGACATGAAGTAACTGAGCAGTTAATATGCTCTGAAAATACCCAGGTCACTTGTAATACAACCATCCTATTCCATTGAATAAAACAGATTAACCACAAACGCCGCAATAAGTAAAACTGCTAATGCGTATGCCACCACTCACAATTAGCTCATCAAGAATATACGCCTATCTGGCACAGGCTGGAACTATAAAAACTGGCAAAAGGCAATGGGTTTGTAAACTGCAATTTTTGTCTTCTCTAAATTATTAAAATGTGCTGGAAACATTAAAAGGCTAACTTTCAGAAGTGCTGAAATATTCACATGAAGTCAATGGCAGTTGAGAGTTTGTGGGGATGACCGTGGCCATCTCTGAAAATCGGGTCATAAATATCTCCACTGTTTTATTAGGACCAAATCATGCAAGTGTTGGTCTGCAGGTGTGGAGGTCCATATACCGGTCACCATTTCCCATTACCCTTAAGAAGAAAAATTAATACCTTATAAAGGATGCGAGAGTCACAAACCTTCCAGGAGTTCCCTCACAGGGGAGGAGAAAGATTTAAGTCATAACTGAGGCTTTTACATCCATTTCCCTTGTTCTGAAGGAAATCATATTCATATTTAGGCACCTGAGCTTGAACCTGATTCTTGGAGAGGACTTACAAATCAACAGTAGCTGCTTGCACCCAGGTACTTCTTAAAAATGCAGAGCAAATATATCATACCTTGTTTCATTAATCAATTGATATGGGCCACATCTGCAAAATTTAGTTCCAGATCCACTTAAGGAGTTGATGATCTCTACATATAGTGACCAAAAGGACCTAAACACCACCTACAATCGACAACTCAAGAGCACTGTTTAGCTTTAACACCTGGCAAAATGCTTAGAGGTCCTTGGAAAGCTTACCTAAAAATGTCAAGATTATTCCTTACAACTATGGACAAGGTGTGAGTACCACTAGAAGTGCTTTTTTAACTTGTCAGCGGGTTTTAACTTGTCTGAGGCATCCAACATTTCAGTAACTTTCTATTATTTTTGCACTTGACATTTCTGTTGGATGGTTCCTATGACATTTTCATGACCTTTAAATAACCTCTTGCTATCACCAAAGCATGAAATTACCCAAAAACTCACTATAACAAAAATACAGCTAGAGCAATAATGTCAAAAATACTTGTGGAACTGTTAGATGAAAGTTCCTTCGTATAGTGTTTGTGTGTGTGGTGTGGGTACACACATATATACATATACACACGTACATTTATATATATGTACACACACACACACGTATGTGTAAATATATATGTGTGTGTGTGTATATATGGAGAGACAGTGAGAGAGAAATATATGGATATTGCATTGCATTTATCCATATATATAATATAATATCCATATATTCTCTCTCTTTCCCCCATATATATTATATATATATATATATAAAAATAATGTTATAATATATATAATGCATATGTCCATATATGTGCAAAACTAACTAGCTAGCTAGCTAGCTAGGAGATAATATAAACACATATGTGGATAAATGCAATTGGTTTACATTAAATATAATGGGCATATAACGGGCAAGACTAATGATCTCATTTGAATGCTTTCTTTTATTGAATGTATTTATTATTTGGCTTCCTGTTTGGTTTCATTATAGGTTCATTCATGTTTTTCAGAATGGCATTTGTTGCTCTATCTGTTCCATAATGTCTGGTCTGAACGCAGCTGAAAAGCTTACAGGAGGGAACAGGTTCATCTCCAATTTGGTTCTCATATGATTTATGAAATGTGTTTCCCCTGATGCATATCATCCTGCCACAGTATGCCTACAATTCTTCGCTTATATCTCATAGCAACATGGTGCTTGCATCAAGAAGTACTATCAAAGCTAAATGGTTTTATATTCCCCGTATCATGTGTAAGGCATACATCCCAGTTTACAATGCTGCACATACCTACTGAGCTACTGTAGGAAATTCTTGTTGCAGAGAGAATCAGTTATATTCCCCGCAGATCCAGTATCATATTAAGAAAGAGTTTTATTCTCTCTTAGTCACCCTGTTAGCCTCTTGGACCAACCAGGTCTATCATTAACTTTGGCTATTCTCTATTGCAATTTTATTATTATTGATACCCAGGGCACTGAAGCAAGGTAGGAAGGATCATAGTTTCCAGTGGCAGGCTGGTCATGTGTTTGCTCAGTTTCTGCCTCAGGACTAATAATATGCAAAAATTCAAGTGACTTTGTCTAGCTTTGACAGCATAAAAATTAAGGAGCTTCCTACTCCAACAGTTTCTGGCTACTGAGAAAAGAGTATCAGTTCTATAACTTTAAAGTGAAATCTCCAGGCATAAATGGTCTAAATAAGCCAGACCCAAAACTCAAATTTCAAACACCCACAGACACTGGAGAGGTTTGGTTCACGATCTACATTTCTAGTTCTGCCCAAATAAGACCTGCTTTTAAAAGAATCAAACCTCTTAGAAGTAGCATTAAATGTTCCTGATGTAAAGCAGTCTACTGGTGTAAATTTTCTGATTTATTTCACATGTATTAGCTTCATGTTTTTACTTCACTTTCCTTAGGTGTTTAATCCTGGGAATAGCTCTTGGATCTGATGCAATCATCAAAACACTGAAGGTGTAGGGCCTAGTGTGTTTGTTAATTTTTATTGCCAATGATTATTTTATTTTAAGTAAGTAAAGAAATTGAAAGTAAAGGAAACTGTGCAACAGCAAAGATCAATTAACAATCCAACATTAAAATGAAAACAATTTTTCCAATTTAATTTATTAGTAGAACTCATGAATTAATGCTAAAATACATTTTATTTTTTTAAAAATAACTTCAGAAGCCACAAGGGAGAAATTGTTTGGTCTGTTACATAGCAGATTCGCAGTCACTGCTTCCCTCTAGTGATCCCAGGTGGGAACACCAGCCAGGCACATTGCTTGATTCAGAGGACAGTAATATGAGAGAACTTCCTAGAAGCAAAATGGTGATTATTCTCTAGAGGTAAGCTCCTGACAGAAATATAGCCATTGCAAAATGCTTAAAAGTTTTAGAAAAATCTATTTCCTTCTTATATTTCATTAACATTCTTACTTTCTACCTGGCTAAATTCCCATAGAGGAGATGGCAGAGGACATTTAAATACAGTAAAAGCTGTGTTATCTGGCATCCATGGGAAATGGGGAGTGCCGGTTAATCTAATATGCTGGTTACCTGAGAAGCGTCTTTGCCTGTTCGGGCTGCTGCCCCTCCCGCTGTGTCCGGTGTGCCAGGGCTTTCAGTCCCCAGCATCAGTGTGCCAGGGGACAGAGAAGGGGGCCCCACACAGCTGCTTTGCCCCAGGCAGTGGTCCAAAGTCGGCAAAGTGGGACTCGGCAAAACCAGAAGTGCCACGGTGGGACTTCTGGTTTCGCTTTTGCCGCATCAGTTGGCATGCTGGTTAATAGAGCATGCCAGTTAATAAAGTGCCAGATAACACAGCTTTTACTGTAATTAACTAAACAGTGGATTCTGTGCACACAAAAGTCCTGAACCTACCCAGTCTTAAAAATCTTTGGGAAGTTGATATTTTTTAATTTTCCTTTTTAAATTTTACTGTGACCTACTTTCTTTTTTCTTCACTCGAATGAATGACTGCTTGCAAAATTCTGATCTTTATCATCACTCCCTGCTTCTTTATTCCTCCTGTGAATCCAGAAAATAAATTATGACATGCTGAGAAGCCCTTCATGTGCACATATCTTAAGGCTTGAAGACAGCAGTTTCACCCAAATTCTACATATCCTTGGAATTAAACTGTGTCACAGGTGGGGGTCCTCCAGGAGGGCCGTGATTTCCTTAAGGTCCCTTCCCCAAGCAAAGCCAGTCCAAGGGCACCCTCTGATTCTCGCTCGCCACGTCTTTGATGTTTATATAAGTTTGGGAGGCTGCCTTACTCCCTCTTGGACACGGTTCGTTGGGACCTCCGTCCCCGTGGTTTCCTGAACTCTCCGTGGGTCTCACTGGATGATGGGTGCTTCCCGGATACCCTAGCCTTATGGGCTATACGTGGCTCCAGCCACCCCTTATACCACGCCCCAAGCCTCGCAGTTGGACTAGACATTGTTCGGTCTCTTGGTCTACTCTCACGCCCCTCTCTCCAGGGCCTTTTCTGTACTGCCGCCCTCTCTCCGGGGCTTTCTTAAGTACTACCGCCCCCTCCTGGGGCTCTCCGTGCCCACTCTGGGCCTTTTCAAGAATACCGCCCCTCTCTTCTCTCTAATGCTGCCCCTTTCCTGGGGCTCTCTGTGCCGACACTGAGCCTTCTCTATAATGTCGCCCCTCTTCTGGGGCGCTCAGTGCCCACTCTGGGCCTTCTCGGTAAAGCCGCCCCTCTCTGGGGCCTTCTGGGTAAAGCCGCCCCTCTCCTGGGGCCTTCTGTGCCCACTCTGGGACTTCTCGGTCAAGCCGCCTGTCTCTCGGGCCCACCGCCCTGCTACCCCCTTTCTCCGGGGCTCACCGCACTACTACCCCCTCTCTCCGGGGTT